AGTAATACTACGTTTAAGTGTAAGAGAAGTTCAACCTTTCTGAGCTTTGATACTGCATTCTCCATTAGTTATATATAAAGGACTTCGTTTTCACTCAGTCCCACTTTCAACAAGGAACAGACAGGCAGAGACAAGATCAGGTAGCGGAGTGCATTCAGTTTTCATCACTTCATGCCCTACTCTGTAAAAAAAACCTGCTCTTAAGACTCTTCTCTCGCAATACACAACATGTGCTACATTGATAAGCCTTCAGCTACTGATGTATCCTTATGAAAGAAGGAGTCAGCATTTTTTGTGACAACATTACAACGTAACATTACCATCATATCTGAAGCTTTTAAAGTTTTTTGTTTTCCAGTTTCTATTACAGTGATTGCAAATGTCAGCTGTCCTTTACATTGTGCCAGTGTTTCACACTGAATGGACCATCAGAAAAAGTCCAAAAGTGCTTTGACTAAAATCTCATTACATTAACATCCATTAAAGTTAACATAGTTTCCTTGTTTGGGTACACTATATAAGCACTGTGACTATATAAGAAAAAATTTCCACATATTGAGCAACCGCTACTGAACAAATTATACACTAGGCATAATAATAACCTGTGAGTAGCCAACAAGCAATGAATAGGTTCTCTAAATGAAAAAAAAAAATCTAAATTAAAATAATTAAAATTTCCAAGTGCCTTTCAAATACATCATACCTCCAAACACAAACTCCTAACATAAACACTTTATAAGGCACTGTGAGGTTCTCAGTTTGCTTATAGTCTGTTAGAAAAAGGGTACTTTCGAGTGCTCTACTCCAAAAACCCAGATCCAAAACCAAATGAATGAGTCATTTTAGACAGGATTTTAGGGGCTGTTTAGGCTTGAAATTCTCTAAAGTGTGACACAAAGGGCAGATGAGGTAGCAGTGATAGAGCAGTTCAGTTGAGGCTGTTGAGTGGTTGTCAACTATTTCATCGGAAGCATCGGGGCGCTGTCTGGAGGAATTCGGAAAATGTTTCAGGCAGCCCTTATAATTGTTTTTGGAAATGTGCACGAGGGTTGCCAAAAAGTTTCCCAAGATCCTCAGGGCAGACAAAACAACACTGCCATATAAAGACAGGCAGTGAGCGCACATCAATTAAGTGGTGTTTGCTGGGTGCCCACACAAAGTCCTGCTCAACATGTGAGAACTGAGTAAACACGATCTCGAACACGTTTAAGATCATAAAACACTGTACAGCCCTGTATATGTCCACAGCAGCGACATTTGTTTAATTTACACTGTGAGGAGCCTAAGTGGAGTCTGACAGCTGGGTGGTGGATTCAGACATGAAGGAGTTTCTATCATAAACCCCACCTTCTACAAACCTCCATAGAAAAGGTCTATATCCCAAGCCAGTTATATTTAGTCTGCTTTTTTCTTTTCATACTGTTCCTATTAGAAGGCTGGATGATCCATCTAAACACAGCTGATATTCACTGGATGAAGAGTCTAGAATGACCAGAATGGAAGGCTGTTTCCTCAGAAATTGAAATAGGGCTGTAACAACTGCTCTATTAAACTTGACTTACTTGATTTTTTAACAGTTATTGATTAAAATGTACCTTTTCAAGGCATTGGTAAGGATTAGTTGCCAATGCTTAAACTTTCTTTAGTTCTTTTACTGGCTACTTGTCTAAAACAAAGCCTGATGCTCATGTATATGCATTATAGTCATTTTAAAAGCTTTTTCCAGTGTTTTGGAATCTTTTAAAGGTTATTCATGGTTTGTTACTGGTCAGTTAAGTCCATTTTTAATGTTTGACCTTTTAAAAATCAATTACTGGTGTGAACCTCAAAACAATCAGGAAATCACTTTTTTTACTAATAAATTAAAAGGGACAGGGCTGACATTCAGTTCAGACATGCTATTCCAGCAAGCTCTGTAAAGTCTGCTAGTCCTAAATGGGAAACAAATTGAGATTACTGTAAGTCAGGCCGTAAAGATATTGTTCAAATCCATAAAGCCGAGCCACCAAAGCACTGCCTCATCGTCCCAGAGGGCACGGGATGTGATCTGGCCTCCCCCTGCAGTCTATGTTGTTAGTGGAGCTCCAGACACAGATGTGGAGCAGGGGAAGTAGCAGGAAGCACGCCTGGTCACACCCTCTGCAAATAACAAACTGCACACGCCATCTCCGGACTGGAGAGAAAGTAAAACGCTTTGGGCCGCGACTGAAGAGAGCAAGGGAAAAAAAACTCTGACACCCGCATTGCATTTAGACATCAGAAACAAATGTGTTAAACACTGGATTCCATTCTAGAACACAGCTGGATGAAAAATGCAACAAAGCGATGCCACTAGGGCTATGAAGATTATACACACATACATATATCATCTAAACCGCTTATCCTTCTGGGTCGCAGTGGGGTGCTGGAGCCTATCCCAGCTTATCAAGATTATTTATTTATTTATTTATTTATTTATTTATTTCAACATCAAAAGATATAAACATAATGTCTTGATGATTTTGCAGCAATTAGTTGACAATTTGCACTGTACATGATGATAATGCATATTTTGAATTCTTTCATGCCTATTTATATGCATTTTTGTCACAGTTTTTGTACTGTACTTTGCAAAAACATCAGAGAGCACCCTTTGTTTATTAAATTTCCAGTAAAAACAGCCATTAAGCACATTTTTCAGCACCTGAAAAAAATGCAATCTTTGCCTTTATTACAGCTTCCATTCTTTTGGAAGTCAGGAGACTTGCTTTCAGTTTTTCAAAGAAACATGCTGGGATTTTTTCCTAAAGTTAGTCATAGAAATTGGTTGCATTTGCTGCTTCTCACAATCAAACGAAATTCCAAATAATCCAGTGTTCTGAGAACACCAGGGGCTCTACTTTGTTTGCTTTGCAAATTCTTTTTTGTGTATTTCCTTTTCTCAGTAATGGCTTCTTGACAGCTACACATCCTTTTAGACTCATAGCGTTAAGTCGTCTTCTTACAGTGGAAGGATGGACAGAAACATCTGTGGATTTTTTCAGATCTGAAGCAAGAGTGCAGCTTGATTTTCTATTTAAAGATGAAAGCTTTATGTGCTATTTATCTGATGGTGACAATCTTGGTGGTTTACCAGATCTTGCATGGTTGTTAGGAGTCCCATTTTCTGTACAACTTTTCATCATTTTTTTACTACTCTTTTGTAAACTCCTGTGTTTTTCACTTATTCTTTTCTGACTTTCCTTCCCTTCCTTATGCACATGGATTATCTTATAACTGATCTCCTCAGAAATAGCTTGTGAAAAAAATAACTTACTTAATGGCTGTTTCAAATGTAAATTAAATAAATAAAGGGTGGTCTCTGACCTATTCACAGTACTGCAGCCTTAAGCCTTTTTTCAAGGCTTTCTACTTTATCTTTTTCTGATAAAGTATTTTGAAAGTCTACTACTCAGATCGCTGTTCCTCCCTTTTTAAAAACTCTGATTCCTTCTGACATCATGTATGAGCTATGCTGAAAAGCAAACCGAGCCTAACTGTGAAGAACAGAAAAAGTTAGTTGTTTAACTTGGATTATGGGTTATTGATTAAGCCAGATCAAATACCTGTTAAGCCAAACAGTTGGCCCACTTGGTACACTACAGTCCCATTCACGATATCACGGGCAGCCAGTCATTTATTGACACAGCAGTAATGGGGAAATGTGATCTGATCTGTTTTCATCATCAAAACATGGAGCACAAGAGGAGGATCATCTGAACTAAACTGCGCTATTGTTTGGACCATAAGGTTAAGAATGGGAATGAACTTCCGTGGTCCACACCCCTCCGGCTACACAATATACCCAGGATACACAGGTGCAGCCTGTGGTTGCTGACATAATTGTACATGATGCATAACAAAACATGACCAATATTTTTCTTATGAATATGGCAGTGAGAATCTCTGTGATTAAGCCTTTGTGTAGAGGGTGTGATTGTATTTCCTATGCATGTTAACATCTGGAAATGAAGGCTCACCTATCTTGTGTATGTGTTGTGAGACGTACTGTTTCTTAATAATCTAGTTATTGTTTAAACAACCCGATTATTCATAACCATAAATAAGGCAACTGATCAATTGTTTTGGGTTGTAGAACTCAAAATCAGCGACCTTGACTGAGGACTCCTTTGAACAGTATAAAAAGCACTGAACAGTTACCTCTCCCAATAAGAAAATCTGATTTTATATACATACATACATACATACATATACATATATATATATATATATATATATATATATATATATAACACACACACACATATATACACATATATATATATATATATATATATACATATATATATATATATATATATATACACACATACATATATATATATATATATATATATATACACACATACATATACATATATATATATATATATATATATGTATATGTATGTGTATATGTGTGTATATATATATATATATATATATATATATATATATGGCCACTTTCAAATATGAGACACATTTCAGTCATATCTCCACATATAAAATATATATTTTGCAATATTTTGAAATAAATGCCTAACCCTTTATGATATACGTGCATATATGGCCATATATCAGGTCTCCTTTCTGTTCTCCAGAAATCTATTCTCCTGACTGAACGTGGTAAAGCACTGACCCCAGATTTACCTGTTCAAACAACTTCAGACCAGAGAAGGCTTGTGGTTTCTTATGCCAAATAACAAATAAAGAAATACAAGCAACAAATTGGGTCAACCCGACAGAGAAACAGTTTTGACAGTTCACCCACATTACAGGCAACATGTGGTTGGGAAAATTACTGCCTTACTGAAAGACACATTTCTGTTTTCCAAAGTAGCCTGCAATCCTGTATGTAGCGCCAACATCCACAGGATTCATACTAACCACGCTTATACATCTCAAACAGCATCCATAAAGTGTCGTGCTGTGGCAGGTTAAGCCAGTGAAGGTGAATGACCGTCCAGGTGCAGGTCGCTTACCTGAGTTTAAGGTTGGCCAGAAACTCTTCCAGAGACACATTGTCCAGAAGAACGAAATCCGCCTTTCCAAATTCCAAACTTTCGTGCTCTGCCATGATGTGTTTTATCCAAAATTAAAAACCACAGGAGTATTAAACCTCAGCAAGGTAAACGGTAGAACAGTCAACAGATGAGCCCAGCGCAGTCTACACAGTTTATCAAGAGGACGAGAACTCACAAACCATTATCCGTCAGCAAAGTTCCCCTACTTTGTCTCATGTTTGCTTAAAAATGGACAGAAAATCGCTGTTTAGCTTCGAGTCGCGTCGTCCCGTTTCAAAAGTCCACAGTAAAACGAGGCTCCTCATGAGCTTTGAAATTTTCAGCTACTTGTTGCCTCCGTGTGCCCGGCTGTAGTGAAGCGGCTGTAGCTTCATACGCCTCTCAGAGAACTTCATACAAACCCCGCCCCTTCAAAGGACCCGTATATACAATCCCACGCGCCTTTTTACCTTTGCAGTTAGCATTGTCTCCGAGCGAGGTATGTAAATGTGTGTTATAAACGGTTTTGTAAATAACAGCAAGGAGTTTAAAGGGTTTTGAAGAGGGTGGATGGGTTAATTTCGGAGTAGTACGAACGTTTGTGGCTTTAGTGGCTTTTTGGCTTCAGAGATAAATGGGCAGCCAAATATCACAAGAATGTCTGTCCATTTTTAGCCATATAAGGCAACAATAACCCTTCCAGTAGGTTTGAGTTAAATCTTAAAGACATCATAGCGATTTAGTTTATAGTTCAAAACGTCTTCTGGATAAAATGAGAGGAACATTTTTCAGGCTCTTTCAGGTTAAGTGGAAAAGGACCCTGTGGAATCATGAGACCTGGTTTAGTAATGTTTACAGATAAATGTTACAAAAACTTAACATACTTTCAATAACCACGCAAGAGACAAGACAGATTTGAGATTTAATGTAGCTTGGACAGAGATAAAACCGGGATAAGGTTACCTGTGGCTGAGGTACAGCTTGCTATTACACAAATACAACATTACTGCTCCCCCCTGCGGTGATATCATGTCATTACAACTTACTGATTCGTATGTGTTCTGCCAAGAATGTCAACTACATGTTCTCAACAATATCAGGTACATTTAGTTTTACAAAAAGAGTAACCTAAAGTTTCAACTCAACATATTTCCAGCCTGCAATAATGTGTAAAATGCAACCAATCAACAACAGCTAAAATAAAACACAAAATAAGCATGCTAACACTGTCCATACATTAAAGGGCAATTCCAATGATTTTTTAAAAACTCTGCATAATTCAGTTGTGATGTAAACAAAGTCTTTGACAGTGGTTTGAGGTGAAATGCTGTGTGGTAGAGAAACTTACTAACTTAGATGTCTTTACAGTGGTGGTGATAGAGTCATATATTGTCCACTATGGCCGTTTGATTTGCTATCCAAAATGACTAGTTCTGACTGAGTTTTATATGCAATGATATTGTTAAAATAGTGATAAATCTGAAGAAAAAAAATCTGAAAATTCTCTTTAGGGACTGGGGCTAAAAAATATGTTGTGGGCCAAAAGTTTATCTGTAAGTTTTTGTAAAACAATAAATCAGGCAGCTTATTCGTAACCATTTCAAGTAATAGCTTTATGTGAGGGGACTTTTTGGATGTCTGGTTCCTATCACCACCACTGTAAACAATTGACTCTGTACGTTTCTCTAAAACAGTGCATTTTACATCATATCACTCTGAATAAGTGAATGATAAATGTGTATAGGCTATATAGGCTCTTTTCCACAGAAATAAAATACATTACATATACACAAACCTTGCCAAATATTGATGCAATCTATTGTATTCATGTGAAAATGATGTACACATTTTAACCCACTAAATTCAGTGTCTCAATTTTTCTGTGCTGGTAGGTAATTAATTATATTCATTTTGGTGGAATTTGCGCCCTCAGACTGAAGGCTATACTTATACTTGCATGTGATATAAAGATACTTATATGCAATTGAAATAGCTTCAGTAATCACTATAAACCATTCAAACTGAAAAAGTAGGATTGAGCAGTAATTATCATCTAATTTTGATCCTTTATTTTCGTACTAAAAGCAGGGAGCCCCCAAATGTAATGGTATTGGATGCAGAGGTGGCCCAAGAGTTGCCACAGTTGTGGGTTACATATACCAAAGCACCTTTGCGCAGAGAGGTCATGTATGTGGACAGATTACCCACTGAGTTTGAGCTGCTGACACGAGTATGAGATACAGCAACCCAGTAGCCGTTTATGACAAGCCACAGATCAGTCTTAGCACCATTAGTTCCACTCTGAGTGGAGAAGAAGAACTGATAGACACCCATGACCGGAGCGGTGAACACGCCTGTGCGGCTGTTGAAGGCACCTCCCACATTGACATACACTTTCCTGTACTGGATTCGGTTCACTTTGCCTTGCAGGCTGCCGGGGTAGGAGGCGAAGAAGTGGACTTGCACTGTAAATTATCAAGAGAGAAAATGTTGCATATCACGTATCATTTCACCTATCACCAGGTGTACCACTGAAGGTGCTCAAACTTTCGCATATGACTGTATGTGTGTGTGTGTGTGTGTGTGTATATATATATATATATATATATATATATATATATATATATATATATATACACGCACATAATAATATATAGAAATATAAGGTTTGAACTCTGTGATGTTACACTACTCGCATATATCAATCATTTTATACATTTATCTGCAACAAAAGTTGATTTTACATCTTTGGAAACACTAATTCCAAAGTTTTGAGTCGTGATTACAAAGTTATACTGGTGGTGTATATTCAGTACGAAGTCCTTGCATGAAGAAAAACATTTACACTTACCTCTTCTTTTGGATTTCTTACAAAACCAGTTAATCTTGTCCCTGCTGTTGCATATTTCATCTTTCTTGCACCTCCCGCACACAAGAGTGTTAATATCTGCAAGACAGCGATCAGGAACACATCAGGCTATACAAGCTGTGAGATGTTCTGTAACATTTATGAGTTGTGGTTAAATAAAGATTCACACCTGCACAGTACGCCAAATGACAGGCTTGTGGCTTGACAAACTTGTAGACATAGAAATTGCCCCTGCAGGCTTTCACTTGGATGGGAGGGGATTTAAAGGCACAGCAGTTTCTATTCCAGTGGCCGCAGACCTTGCGAGTGACAATGCCGTCACAAATGCGTGGGTGGCCGCCGACCAGCCACAGCGGGGAGTGAGTGCCACACATCTCCTTCTTCACACAGCGCTCAGGCATCTGGATGGTTTTCCCACGGTAAAACAGGCGATACCAGCCCTTCCACTGCACCTTCCGGTCACAGGCAACGTTCTTGGTGCTGAAGTTGGTGGCTCTCCACGGCTGGTCCAGCACAGTGTAGTGATAGCAGGGGTCAAGGACTCCATCATTGTCCTCCTCAGGGTCTTTGTCTTCATGGAAAAAGGGGTATGGCAAAGGGCTGCTGCCTAAAAAAGATAGCATACATAAAACCATTAAAATAGAGGTGCCAAAAAGGGATCTAGAAAAACCTCTTTTGGTTCCCTAAAGAACATTTCAATAGATGTTTTCGATAAATAAATATGTGTAAGTGTGAAGAACTTTTTATAGTTTAAACAACATCCGCCTAATGCTAAAGCTCTCTATGAATTAATGTTTTTTTCCTAGAACCTTTCAGAGTGTATGTGATATTTACTGATCTACACACCTATTCAAAAGCTTGGAATCATTAGCCATATTTACATTTTTTGTTATTTCATATACAATAAGCTGTACAAGATTTAAGGTGGGGTCCAAAAGTCTGTGGCCACAGGTGAAAATGCTGTTTTGCATTCTTTTCTAATTTAAGCTCTAAAGTTGTCAATATAATTTATATTAGCATAAAAGTTTGAGTAAAAAGTAGAATCTTTCAATTATTTACTTGAATTTCAAAATTTCTTAGTATTTTGCCTTAATGCAGTAGTGCAGCATTTTGAATACTTCTTCATTCTTATTCCTCTTAACTTTTTCTTGTTTTACATTTTTCAAAATTCTGAACATTCTGTTGTTTATTTCCAGGTTTAAATGAACAAAATCCCAGTTTTTAATGTCTCAACATTTTGGACCCCACCATTGCTATTATAAACTATTCACCAAACTGTATTTTTAGTTTATTAATTTATTATTTTAATATTTAAAGAATTCATTGAACAATTAGTTATTCGATTGTGCACACTGTACTGTAAATATCTGTTTACATTAATTATTCTGTCAAGTTATGTGCCTTTAGATTTGAGCTTTTGAAATATGGATTCATTATGGATATTAATTTTATTATAACTTCAGTCTCGGTGTCATACAGCTTTCTCATTCATTATGGAATCATCTACATTCATCATTCTGAACACATTTTACATTCCTTATGTTTTATTTACAGCATTCTAGTGTCTTACTAATGATTTAAAACGGGAAGTTGAACAGGACCAACATATTAGAGTCATTTTAATACTTATCTGTAGGCAAATTGTTTTTCTGTGATTGAAAGCAATGATTCCAGACCTCTGAACAGTAGTGTACATAACCATTTTTTGTAATGATTTGTTTTGCAACTTAGAATTTACAATTTTAATAAAATCTGGCTGTATGAAATTGACTACAGAGTCATATGTCAAAAAGTTTGTGCACTCAGTTAAATTACATTATGTTGATTTTCTAAGTGAAAATAAGTTCTGCACATATCAGTTTTATTATTAGATTGGCAATAAATAAATAAGTAAGTAAATAAAAAAGTAAGTAAGTGGCAAAATTCTAGCACATTCTTTTCTAGTGTTAATTGTTCACTAAAATCTGCAGAAAAATGCCATATTTAATTGCCTTCTCTGTAGAGGATGTGTTAACTTATTTCCACTTAGCAAACCAATAAAACAGCTTTGACCAGGGGCACTCATACTTTTGCATATGTCTGTATATGTAGTTCTGGAGAGTAAAATCACACTGACCTTTTTGCAGGGAAGTCACATTTACCTCCTCATCTCTAGATGCTTGCATCTGTGCACAATGCATGATAGCCTGCAAAAAAAAAAAACATTTGTTAAAATCTCTTTGTGTCACTGTTTACTGATCCTGGATTTTTTGTTCTTTTTTAGTGCTGCCATTACCTGATTCATGTCCTCTTGTTTCTGTTTCATCATAGCTTGATCGTATCTCAGACTTTCTATCTCCTGAAAAACAAAAATACAGACAAAAAACAGAGCATATTGTTGCACATTCAGCCTGTTGATTCAGCGTTATAAATCAGAAAACATAGTGCAGGTCAGCTTTACCTCTTTCACCAGAGAGAGTTGTTGCAGTACAGGCTGGTCATCCTTCCTCCACATTTTCAGCTCAAACTAGAGGACCAAGAGAGGACATTTGTAATGTAATTATTAAAATAAGTGGTCTAAACTATATGCATGATCCATTCATCAGTGCTCTAACTGATCCATTACTTTTGGAACTAAATGATATAAGAACTATTTTTGACATTCCTTTTTGAATTTTAATTAACCTTTATTCAAAGAGAAACAGTCATATCATTAAGTATAGAAAGTCTAAGTTTGCTGTAGATATTCTATGCAAACATAATAATCCAATAAATAAACCGATTAAATATTTTATGGAAAAGTAGTGCATTCAACTGTATAACAAAATACAGTATATCATTAATAATGTGATCAAATTTCACTCAAATCTGGTGTTTTCTATTCATTTGCCACCTAGTTTCTGCTTACCGATTGCCCAGTCTCCGCTGTGCTCACTGCACATGCAAGCAGCAGAGCCAGCACCTGTATGGCTGCAGCAACCATCTACATAGGACAGACATCTTCTTAACTGACCATTGTCATGGTTCAAAATGTCATTCATATTTACACTTATTGTATGAGATATTGAATACTAATTTCTTCATTTTTGTTTTCTCTTTCATTACTTACCTTTTCACAGAAGGGACATATCAGCGAAAATGAGATGTTGCATATGGACTGGCTTTATATACCACAGCACAGCAAGGCGGGCTGCAGCAGCCATTCAGAGGGAAGTTACTGGTTTGAATTTCACACTGGCGCTCTAGTGCAGAAGACTTTGGTGTTACACTTCGTATGGAAGATGCTAACGCACACATAAAATTTGCTATAGGCAACTTTTGATGATGAGGTTAGCAAAAAAAAAAGAAAGAAAGACAAAAAGAAATCAGAAGTATGGTATGCTGCTTTTGGTTTGCTGTATTGCTTAAGAAAGAAGGAAAGAAAGAATAAAATTATCTATATACAACTACATTGCGTGTAGTTGCACGCTTTAGGTGCTATACAGTTGTTGAAGTTTGAACACCCTCAGTCAAATTAGATGTTTTGTTGATTTTCTTAGTGAAAACAAGTTAACACATCATCTATAAGGGGCATGCCATAATGTTTGCACAGGCCATATTTTGTCTTTTATTTTTTCCCCAATATGTTAACTTTAGGACATAAAGAGTAACTGGGCATTAAAACTGTGCAGAAGTGTGTTCTCTGTAGAGGATATATACATATATTCATGTAGAAAATCCAACAAAACATGGAATTTGACCAGGGGTGCCTATTTTTTTGCCCACAACTGCATATTGCTACGCTGCATATAGTATACTGGCCCTGGCTGGAGGATTTGATTAAAACACAAGCACATTTTTCACAGTAGGTGTGTCTAGTTGTATGTTATCCATTTCAAAACACCTAGAAACATCATAGTCGTTCATTCATTCATTCATAAAGAATTTATAGAATTTCCCCTATGAGCATCTTATAAACAGTGTATATAACGTAAGAAGTGTGTTGCTATGGCAGACGCTCTAAACTCATTTCAGATCATGTAAATTATGTTCACTGTATGTCTTGATGTATGGAGGAGGTCGGCCCACTGACAGTTCAGTTCAGACGTTAACCTTAAACTAACAGGCCTAATTCACCAAGAAGGCATCTGACAGTTTAAAGTGCTTTTGTGTTTTAATGGATCTGGTTATGAATTAAATATCAATAGAACTACTTTTTTGGTGAATGTAGAATTCTATTACTGACAGTTGTTCAGGGGTGGACTATTAGTTTGATTTTTTAGTTCAGGCCTTTTTTTTACTGGAAATCCCATCAATTAACTCTTCTTTCTGAATCATCAGATATTTGTGGCAAAAGTGGCTAATATTACAATAATACAGTATTATTAACGCTCAGTGCTACAAAAAAGCATTTCTGGGCCACTTTCACAGCTTCTTATTTGTCCGTTTAAGTGTTGCCTTTGTAAGCAACAGTCAGAAACCACATGTGCTAAGCCACTTGGAGTGAATGCAAAAGTTTGTGACAAAATCAGCAAAACAAAGTTGGGTGGGATCTTGAAGAAGCGCCAAAAAGAGTTGGTACTGTAGTGTTCAACTACCTTACTAAAGGTAAACCTGAAATGATCAGTGACATTAAATATAAGCTGTATCTCATCTACCAGTGAAATTGTGCAATAAATACTGACAAATGTTGTTTTAAAAAACGTATCTGTCACACCCTCATCTCTTCTCCCACACCTGTCAGTAATTTCTGTCATTCTTTAACCTCCCCAGTTTTGCTTGTCTCTCCGGGTCTTTTGACTTGTGTCCCGACCTTGACCCTGCTTTTCCTGTATTAGCCTGTCTCCTGTTGCTTTGACTTTGGACAGTTTGACCTCATACTGTCTGCCATTGCAACCAGTCTCTGCTCATTTGTGACAGTGTCACAAAATAGTTTGGATTGTTGAAATGATGTTTGAAATGATGGAATTGGAAAGAGAGGACAATTTTGTTCAAGTGGCTTTCAGAGAGAAACCGGTTGTAAAACGAGTAGTAGCATAATTAAGAATAAATTTTTGAGAGTGAAGTACTTTCAGGCTGAATCACCATAGATGGAGCTGGAGATTAAGTTTCTAGACTGCTTTAGAGGGCAGTAAACCACTAAAGCTCAAGGAGGATGAGAAGTCGCTGTGCAGTAAGATGACGAGGCCACAGAGTGGCAGCAATGTAATGGTGACCAAGCTCAATACAGGTTTTATTTCAGCTCAGCCTCTGGACCCATGGTGGCTTCCTAAAGTAAGTTTGCTATACAGGTAGGATTGTTTGAAGATATATACAAGTCAGTGAAAGGAATTAACTCAAGTATTGCTTTAAAATGGTATAACATAGTTTTGCCTTGATGTTTTTTGGGTAACTGGATTTATTATACAACTCCATTTCCAAAATTTAAATAAAAACAAAAATCAATGATGTGCAAATCATTTAAACCCTATATTTCATTGACAATAGTGCAAAGACAACAAATCAAATGTTGAAACTGAGAAATCTTATTGTTTTTTGAAAAATATATGCCCATTTTGAATTTGATGCCAGCAACACGTTCCAAAAAAGTTGGGACGGGGGCATGTTTACCACTGAGTTTCATCACCTCTTCTTTTAACAACAGTCTGTAACTGAGGAGACCAACTGCTGTAGTTTTGAAAGTGAAATGTTTTCCCATTTTTGCTTAACATGGGATTTCAGCTGCTCAACAGTTCAGGGTCTCCTTTGTCGTATTTTTAATTTTATAATGTGCCAAATGTTTTCAGTGGTGACAGGTCTGGACTGCAGGCAGGCCAGTTTAGCGCCTGGACTCTTTTAAAATAGAGCAATGCTGTTGTAATACATGCAAAATATGGTTTGACACTGTCTTGCTGAAATATGCAAGGACTTCTCTGAAAAAAGACGTTGTCTGGATGGCAGCATTTGTTACCAAAACGTGTATATCGTTCAGCATTAATGGTGCCTTCACAGATGTGTGCATCACCCATGCCATGTGAACTAATGCACCCCTATACCATCATGAATACTGGCTTTTGAACTGTGCACTGATAACAAGCTAAATGGTCTTCAGCCTGGAGGACACAGTGTCCATGATTTCCAGAAAGAATTTAAAATTTTGATTTGTTAAACCACAGGACACTTTTCCACTTCACCTCAGTCCATTTTAATTGAGCTTATGCCCAGAGACGGTGGCATCATTCCTGGCTCCTGTCTATGTATGCTTTCTTCTTTGCAAGTTTTAATTAGCATTTGTGGATGCAGCACCGAACTGTTTTCATAGACAGTGGTTTTCAGAAGTATTCCTGAGCTCATGCAGTGATTTCTGCTACAGAATCATGTCTGTTTTTAATGCAGTGCTGCTTGAGGGCCCAAAGATCATGGCCAGCAAATACTGTTTTTTTTCAGGATTCTCTGAATCTTTTAATGATATTATGTATCATAGATGTTGAAAAGCAAAAGTTCTTTGCTATTTTTTGTTGAGAAACATTATTCTTGAATTGTTGCACTTGATCATGCAGTCTTTCACAGAGTGGTGAACCCTCCTCATCTTTACTTCTGAAAGACTCAGCCTCCCTGGGATGCTTTTTTATACCCAATCACATTACTGACCTATTGCTAATTAACCACCAGGTGTTTTTTTTAAGCATTACACAACTTTACCAGCCTTTTGTTGCCCCTGTCCTAACTTTTGTGGAACGTGTTGCTGGCATCAAATTCAAAATGGGCAAATATTTTTCAAAAAACACTGAAATTTCTCAGTTTTGACATTTGATATGTTGTCTTTGTACTATTTTCAATGAAATATAGGGTTTAAATGACACATCATTTTGTTTTTATTTACATTTTGCACAGCGTCCCAACTTTTTTGGAAATGGGGTTGTATATTTGGGTTTCTTGTATTCAGAGTTTCAAGAATCAAAATCACATTGTCTAACAGAAAGATTGAAATAATAGACTGAGCTCCGAGGACAGCACAATAACACCCAATGCAAAATATACAAGAGTACTCCATATCAATGAAAACCTCTTATAATAATTTCAACAAATGTTTCAGTACAATAAAATGTCACAATACATTACAAAATATTACCTTACATCATCCTTGTAAAGTCTCTTAATGACATAATTTATGAATATAATGAATATTTTGCTAGGTTAATCCATGCTTTTAACCTATGGTCATAATATAAAAAGAGGCTGTATAACTGTAAGAGGGCAGAGAACTCTGAGAACTTGGGCTGGAGATCTGGGCAGCTTCTGCTTCGAGCTGAAAGGCCAGACCCCTATCTCTTGATGAACAAGAGAGGACTGAAGAACAGGGAGGTGATGTGGTGCTGGTGGGGTGTTAAAACTTCACAGGAGAGGGAAGGTAGAGATTAAAATTTATAGGACGTGAGATTGGAAGGAGGAGGAGCTTCAGGCTTGGTCCTCCACCCAAACGTCAGTTATTTAATAACTCCAGGGCCTAGATTAATTGTCATTGGTGTTTAATTATGTACGTATGTATGTATGTATGTATGTATGCATGTACACTGATCAGGCATAACATTATGACCACCTTCTTCTTTCTATGGTCATTGTGCATTTTATCAGCTCCACTTACTACATAGGTGCACTTTGTAGTTCTACAATTACCGACTGTAGTCCATCTGTTTCTCTGCATACTTTGTTAGTCTCCTTTTACCCTGTTCTTCAGTGCTCAGGACCCCCATGGACCCTCACAGAGCAGGAATTATTTGGGTGGTGGATCATTCTCAGCACTGCAGTAACATTGGCGTGGTGGTGATATGTTAATGTGTTATGCTGGTACAAGTGGATCAGACACAGCAGTGCTGCTGGAGTTTTTAAAAACCTCAGTGTCACTGCTGGACTCAGAATAGTCCACCAACCAAAAATATCCAGCCAACAGCGTCCTGTGAGCACTGATGAAGGACTAGAGGATGACCAACTCAAACTGCGCAGCAGCAGATGAGATATTGTCTCTGACTTTATATCTACAAGGTGGACTGATAAGGTAGGAGTGTCTAATAGAGTGGACACTGAGTGGACACAGTGTTTAAAAACTCCAGCAGCACTGCTGTGTCTGATCCATTTGAACCAGCATAACACACACTAACACACCACCACCGCTTCAGTGTTACTGCAGTGCTGAGAATGATCCACCACTCAATTAGTACCTGCTCTGTGAGGGTCCATGGGGGTCCTGACCACTGAAGAACAGGGTATAAGGGGGCTAACAAAGTATGCAGAGAAACAGATGGACTACAGTCTGTAATTGTAGAACTACAAAGTGCACCTATATAGTAAGTGGAGCTGATAAAATGGACAATGAGCGTAGAAACAAGGAGGTGGTCATAATGTTATGCCTGATCAGTGAATGTATGTATGTATGTATGGATGGATGGATGGATGGATGGATGGATGTACATACATCCTTTGAAAATGGTAGCCAGCCTTTGAAATTATGTGAACATATGACATTGTGTATGAAACTAACAAATGAACCAATAGAAATGATATAAATTTAGAAAAAAAAAAATAACATTAGAACATGTTATGTAGCATATAGCTTAGCTTACATAACTCAGTATTGCAGAAGATGACAGAATATCTTTGCTGTCAGAACAAAACAATGTATCTAGTTTTTCATTTTTTGGCATGATCTGACAGTTTCTTAATAGAAACAAATAGAAATGATCCAAAATTGTTTGAAATAAAATGTTTTCATGTAAGCTTATACAGAAAGTTTAGAATAACGATTGTTTGTTCTTAACCATCTTGACCAAGTTATCGGTTTGAAGATGTTCAGCATCTATACTATGCATTCCATATTAGAAGCAGACACAGCTTCAACTCTTGTGCTTAACTACTGGAAGTTTTTCAAAGCCACAGTGTTCAAAAGTCAATGATGTGTGGACTGATCTGATGAGAGCAGGTCAGTCAATACAGCAATCTGACAGGGAGAACACAGGGAGATGGGAGCCTTTTACGTGGGACCGAGTGCAGTAAACAGCCCAGAGGAATGCCTGGCACGCCACAAAGAGAACAGTGACTATGATAAACAGATTAGAGACCGGCTAATTAGAGTGCATACGTCTAACCCCCTCCAACCAGCCGCCTCTCTCTTTCCACCCCACACTCTGCTGTTGACGAGTTGCTGTTCTCTTACCAGAGTAGTTCCTGGAATTGGTTCCATCTGTAGCACTTCACTTCCATACTGACACGTATCTGACATCTTCTCAGTGTCTCGCTCGTGAAGAGCTGAGCACACACAGACTCGGAACAGCTGCTTGAGGGGGCACTCTGCTGGAAGGAAGCCATCTGCACAGCACTGTTTGATTCTCTTTAGTTTGTGATGCTCGAATGCACACATAACATTCCTCACCTGTGCTGATACTGTGAACAGGCAGAGATATCTAACATGTAATCAAGCATATCCGCACACATTTACTGAACAAAAAAACAGAAGCAGACTGTTCACACACATAGTTAAGGGGGAGCTCCAGTGATTTTTCCAAATTAAAGATGTAAACAAAGTCATTCAGAGTGGTTTAGCGAATTTTAGACGATTGTCCACAATGGTTGTGATGGGAACCAGATGTCCAAAGCTACCACACAGAAAGCTATTATAAGAAATGGGTACAAATACACTGGCTGAGACATTGTGTGTGATAGTTTTGAGATAAGCTTTTTGTAGAGAGGTACATCCAGAGCTTTGTAGGGCAAAATAACATCAAAAGAAAACTTTTTTCTCTTCTTCTTCTTCTTATTTTCCACTATTTTACCATTATCAACATTATATACAAATGTCAGCAGACACATGTAGGTTCACTTGTTGTTTTGAACAGTAAATAAAATGGCTATATTTAAGTTGTAGACATCCCAGCCCCTGGTTCATGTCACCCCCACTGTAAAGAAACCTGAGTCAGTTCTCTTCAACACACCATCTCATATCAAAACACAGTAAATTATTTTGTTTATATTTCAAAATCAAATTATGCCAAAATCTTAAAAAATAAGTGGAATTCCCCTCTAACACTATTCCTTCAATATATAGAATATAATAGAATATGCTGGTGTCTTTCAACCTCTATCATTTGCATCTATATATTGCATTTATATAGCACACAGTCTATTATTGTGGGCAATCATTTTTCAGTACATAGAAAACAACAGAAAACAAATCAAAATACAGTCATAACAGAGGGCAATGTGCTCAAACAGGTCCTTATACCTTCCCATTAACTTTTGACAGACATTATAAGTCTGCAAAATTCAACCAAAGATGAAACTACTGTACACTCTCAGAAATAACTGTACCTTTCAGGGTACAAAGACTGTCACTATGGAGGTGCCCTCAAGGCAACTGACAATCATACCCATATGAGCTTGCTGGCCATCCCATTCCATAACCATGGACATTAATATGGAGTAGGCCCACCTTTGCAGCTATAACAATCTGGAAAAAATTTTATATTGTTATATTTTTGTAAGGTCAGGCACAGATTTTCAACTAGAAGACCTGGCCTGCAGTCAACGTTCCAGTTAATCCCAAAGGTGTTCAGTGGGGTTGAGGTCAAGGCTCTTTGCAGGCCACTCGCGCTCCTCCACACCAAACTCAGCAAACTATGTGTTTAAGGACCTCATTTTGTGCACAGGGGGATACAGTAATGCTGGAACAGGAAAGGGCCTTCCCCAAACTGTTGCCACAAAGTTACCAGCATATAGTTGTCTAAAATATCTTTACATTCTGTAGCATTAACATTACCCCTCATAGGAACTAACCCTGAGAATCAGCCCCAGACCATTATCCTTCCTCCACTAAACTTTTCTGCTGGCACTGTGCTTCTTCTGTAGGTAGACTTCTGTCATCTGCCAAGCCCAGATTTATCCATCAGACTGCCAGATAGTGAATCATGATTCATTACTCCAGGGAGCATGTTTGCACTGCTCCAGAGTCCAGTGGCGGTGTGCTTTAGACCACTCCAGCTTGGCAATGTGCAGCTGCTCAGCCATAGAAACCCATATCATGAAGCTGAAGTTCTTGTGCTTATTTTGCTTCAGGAGGCAGTTTGGAACTCTGTAGTGAGTGATGTAACAGGGGATAAGTTATTTTTTTGTGCTACCCACTTCAGCACTCGGCAGACCCACTGTGAGTTTGTGTAGTCTTCCAGTTCGTTGCTAAGCTGTTATTGCACCTAGATGCTTCCATTTCACATAAATAGCATTTACCGTTGACCAGGACAGATCTAATAGGGTGGAATTTTCCCAAAATGACTTGTGACAAAGATGGCATCCTATAATAATGTCATGTTAAAAGTCATTGAGCTGTTCAGTATGGCTTATTCTAATGTCAGTGTTAGTCTATGGAGATTGCATGGCTGTGCGCCTTATTTTATACACCTCTTAGCAATGGTTGTTACTGAAACGCCTGGTATCAATCAGTAGGTAGGATGTTCACAATCTTTTTGGCCATATAGCGCAATTGTAATTTATTCTGTTGCACATATCTCTAACTTGCATTGACCCTTTACCAAGGGTGCACAACTCCGGTCCTAGAGGGCTGGTGTCCAGCACAGTTTTGTGATGAACTTGCTCAAACTCACCAAACACCAAACTCCTTTGTTAACTGCCAGGTTTAGTGGACATGTTTGAGTAGGGACACTTTTTAGTAGGCTTTTTAGTTTTCTCCTTAAACCTGTTAAGCTATGAAGAGATACAAACATGCACCTTTCCCCTTGAACAGTGAATACCTTTAAAACTCATTTAAGGTACACAATTGGACCTTACAGACCACTGATGTACCTTTGAGGGTATAGTTACATTGTTTGCACCTTGGGAATCTGAAATGACAGTACCCATTTTTTCAGACTGTGTAAGTACAGTAAATTCTTGCACTTCGAAAAGAACTGAAAAGCCACTGACTCAAAACAGACTTACAACAGAAATCAATGGGAAGCTGGTTCAGCATCTGCCTAATGGTTTCTATTATCAGTGTTTGTAAGTCACTAAGTTTTATGTGCCTGTACTAAGTTTATGAGGCACATCAGAATTAAAATATGTGTTAATCAACCATACAATACAAATGCAATATGTAGGTTGAAATGTGCTGGAGTATTCCTTTAATAGGTTATTAAGCACGTGGCTTGTGGTTTTTCTATTAGCACAAAGAATCACAGGCCTTTCTTGAGCCTATGGCTGTAAACAGGCCCACTGAGCAGTCACATATATATATAGCACCAATGGGAATAGGTGGCATGGTACGTGATATACACTGTAAAGTGAGCGGAGCTGCTTTCTCTGACACATATTTCTCTGTGGACTGTAAACAGTCAGCAGCAGTGGTGCTGACCTTGCCAGAGCTTGTCCAGCAACAGCATGGCACACTGTGCAGTATAGAGTTGAAACATTCTGTGGAAATATATTCTGACCTTTGTTCTCTGTTGTGCCCATTTGACCCTAATAAGTAGGAGCCCATCGCTTTTCTTTTGTCTATTTTAAGAGGCTTGCTCAAGGCATTTTTCCATGCAGTCATTCTAGGCCTATCACATATCACGTAGTCCCTGCATCCTGTAACCTTTGGTAGGAAGTTGTTTACTGCTGGAGCCTGCAGCCTTTGCCTTACTTGGCAACTGGCCAGCTTGCAACATCCCAACTCACGTTCATCAATCAGCTTCATTCTCCAGATAAGGACTTAACAATTAAACCTCTCTTGACACAATGAAGTACAGTGAGCATGAGCTGATGAGAATGTGGCCTTTGTCATCTTTACGCTGGATCACCATGGCAACGTGCTGATTGAGAGGTAATCATAGCTCATAATGGTGAAACAAATTTGATAGATGATTGAAAAATATATATGTATTTGATTTGTATGTTTTTGATTTATATTTTTTGGTTTTATTTAAGCACACAGAGAGATATCCAATGAAATGTCACGTTTATTTCCATTATATGTACATCTATTATAGATACAATGGAAAAAAGATTTTATTACAAAAATATTAACTCTCATACAGTTCTTAGCGAGTTAAAACTTTCATATAAAATCAAAAGAGCATATAAATATGGTCCTCAAAGGCTTGCATGGTTCATGCTTGACATATGCTGTTTGTTTCTAAAACAGGAGGTACAGAGATTCACTCAAAATTGGAAGAAAATCCCCTTCCTTGAGTATGTTTACATCAGTTTACATGAAATAAATAAGAGCAAAACAGCACAAATAGAATGAAATGTTGTACAAAGATAAAGCTTAAGGCCTTTCACTGGCTTGAAAGACACCAGATAGTTGTGGTGTTTACTCTTGCTGAGGTGTCTAACATTAGCCAGAATATGTAAGAATGAACTCATAAGCAAGAGATAATAGTTTTGAAAAACTCAAAACAGAAACGCCTAAAGCGTTTATGGTGTTTTCAGTCATGAAAATAACGAGGTGATGGGTAATTAACTGTACAGTCATATCAACACGTTCAAATCCCATTTAACAAAGCAGCAATAATAAATCAGGGATGACATGACTGATTTGGCAACATGCAGTGAAAAACCACTCTTAATATATGACACTGACTCTGGTTCCAGACTGCAATAAACCCTTAATGGGTTCAGTATATTTTCCATTTGAAACTTTCTTGTCTGCTCTCGGTATGTAAATACTGTTGACTTAGTGTCATCATGTGTGACAATGAGAAATCATCAGGTCACATGACCCCCGAGGTACTCTGGCCTCTGAATATGGTCCTCTTTCCTTCTAATCACTGGTAGATAGCTCACATATTTGTGCAACTGTCATTACATCTGACTCCTACATATGGAAATGATGAAATGTCTAATGCACATTTAACACTGATTTATCATTTTACAGTCTTTCATAACTGATTATGCAAATGTTCTACCCTGCTTTTCTTCCCACCATAGATATATCATTCTGCTAACCTCTGGTTGCCAAGTAACAACAATGGCTGTTTTACTTCCTTTTTGGGCAGAAGAAGTTGCCAATATTTAAAACATATACTTGAGATTATCTTTGTAGCTTCTTTGCTTTACTTCTTACTTAGCAAAACTGTGCAATAAAAGCTACAGAGCACTCCAGGTTGTGGGTTACCATGTATAACACTGCCTTCTTCTCGTGTCTGATGTTATTTGCCACAACACACTCCATCTAGTGTTCTGTTCCCTAACTGTATTAAGCATATTCAATGTCGGTTCCCTCATTGTGACCCTTTCTTTCCATG